ACTTTGATATGCCAATTGTAAAGCTTACAATCAGAAGAGAGATCAAACTGCAAAACGAGTAAACAAACCGACTGTTACCAACTTGGCTTTTTCTGTTGGTGCAATAAATACAAATGATGGCTTAAGTTGAAAAGTTAGCTTTGAACGAAAACGAAATGCTGACTCTTGGCAGAAAGTGTTTGATCTTTTGATTGTTAATGCACTCTTACCCTTTGCAGCAGTCCTGCATTCTCACACAGCTGGGCAATATGAGCGCGATCATAATGAGTGAACATCTGATTTCCAAGAATAGCATCAGCAACCTGATAAAAAGTTAACAATGTTTGCATTTAGACGCTGACTACATAACATGTCAACCTTAGTTATAAACTTTACATTTCTTGGAAGAACCACAACTGTTTCAAAAGAAAAGTATCAGCCATCTCTAACTCCCAAAGAATGCTTAAGTTTTACTCATGCCCAATTAATACCATGCTATCTTCACACAAAAAAAATATTCTGTTTGCTGTTAGGGAGAGAATGATGATTCTACAGAGATGACTACATGAGAAGGGGATGCTCATTCATCAAAGTAATAAAGATGTAGATTTTGGGGCGTTAATGACATTATTCAGCAAGAGATCTCTGAGAACAGTTCAATTCAATTTCATTTTAGGAGCTAGTTGATTTTATGGATCAGGAGACTTGCCTGGCTCAATCATAAGTTAAATCAAGCAATCAACTAAGCCACTAAGTGTGTGAGTAACTGATCGATGATTGATCAATCACTGAATCACTCACTCAATCAATCAGTCAATCAAATAAACAATCAATCAGTCAATAATGGAAAGAATAACAGACAAAGAGAAAGACAGACTGAAAGAGCAACTAACAACAACAACAACAGCAACAACATTATTGGTACTCATACCTAGAATTAAAGTTTACAAAAATAAGTTTTAAAATAAAGCGAGTACGTGATTGCCCAAAATAATGTTTCCATCTTATTTTTATTGTTGACGGTACTTACTTAAATTTAAGTTATTGTCTTTGAAAAGCCTCTTGGGGGAAGTCAATAAAGTACATATGTATGTATGTCTGTCTGTCTGTCTGTCTGTCTGTCCATCTGTCTGTCTGTCTGTCTGTATGTATGTATGTAACGTTTATGGGCTAATTAAGACTGGGCAAAAGTAGTGATAACAGCAATTATTTTAAATAGGGTCAGATACTAGAAGAGAAAATAAGAAAAAAAAATGCAACAGCACACAAGGCACACAAAAAAAGACTAAGTGATAAAGTAAACAGATTTAGTGAAAACTAGTTGGATAATACAGTGCATTGACGACAAGAGTTATACTTTAAATACAGAGGTACAGATATTCAATATGTACTAATAGCTTGCAATGGCTTCTGGCTGTGTGTTAACAAACAGACAGACAACCACTGACCTGAGGTGCTGTGAGGAGGTTCATTTCTAGCAGTCTGGTCTGCAGATGATCTTCAGTTGGTCTGTTGTTCTTAAGAGCATCCAGTAGGAAAGATGTACATGCCTGAACCTGGTTGGTTTCCATAAAGACATCTACAATCTTAAGTTAAAGAAAACAAATTGTTAAGGGATTGCCCTGTAGATAAAACTACCTCACTTACAGTCACTAAAACAGACCAAATAACAATTCTTGGTGGAAACTGAAGGAGAGCATTTCCACTGATCAGAAGTTAAGACTACATGTACCTCTCACTAAAAACTTCCCTAATCCAGTCTTCATTCCCATTGTGCTTAACCCCTTTCAATCCCGGATTCCTGGCCCTAGATGACTAATTAACCACGGTTCAGGGGGCTCATAACTCTTTCATCAGGAGGGCAAATGTTTTTCTCAGGTGGGCAAAACTATTTGTACTGAACATTCATGGGCAGCTTTCAAAGCTTTGTCTGATTGCAGTACAGTGACACTGTAAACAGCTTTCTGGTGTTATGGAGATCCCTGCTGACTGATGTTTGGCTGCTGCAGAAAATCAACCTTAAACTCGTTAAAAGATTTTTTAACAAAGGATTTATGCTGTTTGACAGCAAGAAATGTACAAGCTTATCACAAGAACAAAAACAGCTGTTTTTGGAGCTACCAAACTTGCAAAAGCAATGATCAGCATGTACTCTGGTATAGTTTTATTTGCTAGTGTTAATGGTAAATATGTCATGCTTTGGCCCATACAATAATGTGGAAAGCTCAAAATATGCACTTCAAGTTCCACAAAGTGTGGTTTCCGTTGGCTGAAGAACAAAAGAAGCAGAAAACGTTTTTCTCACACATGGCTGGGAGTCTGGGTACCGGTGAGCGGGGGGTTTCAGATCACGTGGCTTGTGTAAGGTTTCAGTTTTTGTTTTGCCATCCGCATTGCCTGACATGCCCCACCCACCCACCTGTGAAGTACTTGTAGAATGTGTTAAAGTGAAATTTTTCCCTAGCCACTTTTTTGTGTCATTGTAAGACAATTATGTTCTTAAGTTAATAAAGGTCAGGCTGTGTGGTTCGGCTTGGCATGGCTCCCAGCGGTGTGTGAGAAGTTACCCACTAAGAGAAGTGAAAACATTTTCACATCGAAAGATATCAAGAAAGCTATGGTCAATAAAGATTTTTCAGTAAGGTGTGAGTGGATATATGAAATACATGTACCTCACAGTTTGGGGGACTTTTCATAGCAAGCATTGAATTAATATCAGCCTGGTTTAATACAGACCTGGTTAAGGTCTGCAAGTGGTTCTCCTTCATCCTGCACAAGCATAGAAGCAAATTGACTGCCTGTCTCTGGGTTGATCCTCATCACATTACGGAGCAGGAAGATGTAATCAGGAGTGTAGCCAACCTTCTTTGCGTATAAAACAATCTTCTGAAACTGGCCAGTTTCCGCAAAACACTGGATGACCTGAAAAATTTTAGTTTAATTATTATTAAATATTGCATTGAAGCCACTCATCCACCATAGAAGCAAGGCCATAACTATTTCCTATAAACATACCTGAACAATGTCTAAATTAATTATGTAAAATTACCTTGTTTGGCACATTTGCTCTGAGATAAACTGACAAGGCAAGAGTTGGATCAACTTGCTTCACTAAATCACCAAGCTCTTCACTGCACTCCAGCTGTTGAGAAAAGTAGCCAAGTAAGTCACTTAAAAGGTACAAGCAACTCAAAAACAATTCAGGCATTTAAAGAAGATAAGACTGGCCTCTCAGGTTTATAAGCATTTGTTTCATAGACTCTTGTAGTCATCAATCGAAAGATGGTGATAATAATGTTCATCACAGAGGCTTAAATTGTTTCCAGATTGTACTTACAGATTCTGTTAAACTAAATCTGAGTACTAGCTTATTGTATTGCTAAATGTAATTTTAGTGTGCACTGTTAGTAGCCACTTTTCCCTTTGTTCTATTCTGGCAAATTAGCTAATATTATTCTTACATGAAAGTTAAGAATGATCATCGCAGTAAATTTTCCAATTTAAGTAATTGGAAAGAAGAAGCCTGAAAAAAATCAGGGCTTCAACGGGATTAGAACCCATGACCTCCGCGATACCGGTGCGATGCTCTACCAAATGAGCTATGAAGTCACACATTGAAGCCCTGATTTTTTTCAGGCTTCTTCTTTCCAATTGCTTAAATTGAAAAATTTACTGGGATGATCATTCTTCACTTTCATCTACAACTGCAGTTCACATTATTCTTACATGTAGATTTTCTAGCTATATGCCAGTAACACTAAATTTTACATTAAACTTACATTTAAACTCGTCACCAATAGATAAGCTTGGGAACTGATGCCTTATAGGTTGGTAGGGGGCCTGAATACTTCAGGCACAGCAGGGAGGTATCCGTGACAACCCTGGAGCGGGAACCACCCCTACAGGCAACTGCCACCTGGTACCATCACACTGAAAGGAGTTCAGTGGAAAAATACTTACCTATGTACTGTAACCCTCTACTTACCTTAACCCATGAAATGCAAGGGTGGGAGGGCTGGGAGCAAGACTCCACATGTATGATACGCAGAAATTAGGACTTTCTTGACAAACTGCAGCTAGAGATCCGCAAAGATTAGCTGACTACGTAAATGATCCACGAAGATCAGCTGCAATGCGACAAAATGTAAATGGGCCACGAGGCGAGCTGCAAGCTATTGAGGTCACCTTACAGATCACATATACAAATGGAGTCACTGCTGGCCACATTGGATTGAGATGTACTTTGCCTAAATTACATTTAGCCACATTAAAGGAAGTATGTCGATAATAAGGGTTATTATCCAATACCTTTTCCTCCTTAAGCCACTTCTCAAGAAGCTGTTTCCTTCCTTGCTGTAAAACAGGTTTGCAGAGCTCCAGTGACTCAAACTTGTTGAGTTTACCCTGGTCTAATAAAATGCCAAAATATTGCAACAAGGGAGATGTTTGACCTTGCTGAGATGGTACCTGCTGAAACCTCTGGATTGTCTGCGGTGTTCGTAGAACGCCCTGATTAGAAAAAGAATTTTACCCAAAAGTTAGTTATTAAAGCCTCTACTTTTTAAAATGTAACACAGCTTCTCATTATTCCATTGTGGATTTCTTTGAAGAACCTTCTTTCCAAATTGAAGTTGGTTGTGGTAAAAAGACATTTGTTAGATCTTTGTACAGTGACAGTTTACCTTTGGTGCATTAGCTGCAACCTTTGCTGCCTCAGCATACTGCATGTTGTTGAACAAGGTGTTAAACTTTCTCACAAAGAGTTCCTCTGCCCCAGCCAAATTGTTTCTCACAGCCAGACGAAGAGCCAAGTCAGGATTTTGGAGCACATTGGTGATGTATGGAATGATGTTATCCTCCTCGACGCTCACTGACAACACCTGATAGTAATGAAACATTTTTAAAGACAAATAGAAATTGAAAAGTTTGGAAATTAAAGCATGATGTTTTCAACCCTACCTGTCCCTTTCTGTTTACACCAATAATACCATCGGTAGGTTCATGAGGTGCTGTCACAAAGATTGTATCTCCACTGATTCGGTTCATGTAAATGCAGGATCCACTCTCTACATCATACAGATGGATATATCCATACTTGGTGATGAGGAACACTATTCCATGTTTCTGGCTCACCTTAAATATCAAAATGTTTAGGGTCAGTTACACAATTTCCAGGTGACAAGCAATATGTAACAAGCAACTGCATTTCTTTGGTACATAGGACAAGCTACATAAATGAAACCTTCCCACTGTGCTTTCCAACTAGAATTAACAGCTACATTTTTCTCGACAGTAGGTGGAAATCTGCCTGTCACTGCCTGCTACTGAGAACGCTCAGTTAGACTTTATGTTGTTGTTGTCTACTCAGTTACAAATATGCACAGATGATGTCAAAATTTGGACAGAACGACAATACCAAAACACCCTTTTGGTCTCAGTTCTGGGTGATTTGTTCACTTGCTCTCATTGAGGCAAGTACGCTGGTAGTGTGACGCTTGTACTGTACCTCATGCTTTAAATAAAATGTAAAGTAAACAGAATACAAGCCTTACACTTGCGGTATTATTAAGAATTAATTCCATCTGGCCTGACGCCCTGATCTGACCCATGTTGATATATACAGCGAGATATTGATCATAATACAGTCGAACCTCTCAGGTTGCAACCACCTCTCGTAAGCGACCACCTCTCCTCAGCAACTGGTTTTCCAAAATACCAAGTGACTTGGGAAATTTAGTGGAGGGACCCAGGGGGCATCCCCCTTCTCTCTGTTAAGATTCTCCTTGAGAAACTAATATCAATCAATTTTTTAGAATCAAGCATTCAGCAAAGTGATCAGGTCATGACTGAGGAAGAATATTATTTAAGTTGTAATTTGAACAAAATAAATAAAAGTCAATAATTGGTATATAAATGCAAGCACTGCTTCTGTTTTTTACCAATTTATACTGTTGCTTTTGTTTTTGAGTTTTGCCATTTCAGAGATGCCAACCTCAAAAAAAATTAAATCAGCAAAATCACCAATTTGACCTTCCTGACCCTAAAAAATGTTGTTGAAAGCAGAGCTCTTCCAATTCAGCCACAAAATCGCTTTTCTTCAAATTCAGGGGAGGTGACATGCATGAGAGACCAGGAGATTCAGCCTGTATCCAGGAGATACCCGGATAACCTGGGAAAGTTGGCATAGATGCCATTCTATTTGATAATTTGAACGAAACAAAATTCATTGTACAAATCATGAAATGGAAACTGAAACTGAAAACAAACAAAAATGTAAGTTTGAATTTGGCCACACTGACATGTACTTTCCTTTGCATAGCATTTTAAATTATAACAGATACTAAATGATTATATAATTTTTCTGCCTTTACATAATGAAAAGTTATAAAGTCAACAGTATCATTTCCCTGTCTGACCACTGATTTCTGAAAATATTTGTTGTCAGCAAGGTATTAACAGAGATCCATTGGCATACATGATGTACCTTAATTCAATACTAAGTTCGCAATGCATTATACAGTGATTTTCAACATGGTCGTCTTTGGCTGTTTTGGGGATGGAGAGAGACTTTGTTGTCATGTTTTGGCCTGTATTTCTCATGATAAAAGTACAACAAAACTGTTGTTCTCAGTTAAATTTATTGTGTCACTAATTTTATGACCAATTTCAGAACAAAATGACCGGTCAGATTGAGCATTAGCCAGTGAAAACCAAATGTACTATTGATTACCAGCCATGGTTGGAAGGCTTGTTAAAGTGCCTATGAAGTAAAAAGTAATTCCTGCTTATTTGAAAGGCTTTTCAAAGTAAAGAAGAATGGCGTTTTCCTTTTTGGAATACCTTTTTTCGTTTTAGAGATACTCACGTCTTTGTATTATGCAAATGAGGAAAGTGATGATGTCATAGGCGGTTCCTCTAAAACAGCACAACACTCAATCGAGAACAAGAAGATCTGTTAGATCTTATAACCGCGCTTTTAAAATTTAACTGTTTGCTTAGCACTACAGTTGCAACGCAGTGCACATTCCAAAGCAATCCTTGATGATTCATTGATTACTGCAATCACCACATCACTTGATCAACACAAACTCTATTGTTGCACCATCAGGCGAAGCTGTTGTAAAATCTCCGATGACGTAATGGTCTTAACCTGGAACTTTCTTCGGGATATGTATGGGCATGAAGATACGAACACTATTACCAACAGCTTTCTTTCTTAAAAGCCACGATTAAATTTAATTGTTTTTTTCCCTTGAATAAAGAGCTAGCAAAGAAGTCACACGAGTCACATAACTCAAGAATTGCGTTATCCATGGCTATCTTTAGTATGGTGGTTATTTCCCTACCAAAGACGTAACCCTTGCGTGTTCTAACACATTCTTTGCCTGGCTTGCAAATATTTAATTTTCCTTCCGATCTGTGAACTCGCTTCAATAAAACAGCACAACAATTCACTTCTCTTGTCTAAAATACGAAAAATACTCGGAAAACTAAAAAGACTGTTGCTCCTGGCAAAATAAACTTGCAAAGTAAACACAATCTTATTTGTCACATAGCTAAAGTGAAAGCTGCAACGTCAGCGCATTCCATGGCTGATGTAATACCTTTGTTTAGTGTATTTCTTATTCCCTTTGAATCCAACGCTTTGATAAAACCAAAAGAAAATTTATTTCAGTAATGTTAAAAAGAACACAATAAAGAAAACAATATCCATAACATCACAGGTTGTGTGACTCAAAATTTGGCCGAGAAGGAGTTTGGGTCTAGTCAGCAACAAAACTAAACAAGAAGATCTTTTAGATCTTACAACCGTGCTTTTAAAAGTTAACTGTTTTGGTAGCACTACAGTCGCAATGAAGTGCACATTCCAAAGCAGTCCTTGATGATTCATTGATTACTGTAGACACCACATCACTTGATTAACAAAACGTGTATTACTGCACCATCAGTCGTAGCCATTGTGAAATCTCCGATGACGTAATTACTTCTGGCACATGTCATAATATGGGATCATGAGTGACCCGAAGAAAAAACAAAACAAAAAGAGAATCAGTTTTGAAGCTATTTCCGGCAAATTTGGCACACCGGAAGCTGAGAAAATTACCTTATTTCTGGCCATTTTTCAGCTCTTTTCATCATATCGCCTTCAGGAGAGTTTTGTAAAGTTAGCAAATTGGTATGCAAGCCACCGTAATGGTGGTCGCCATCAGCAAAATGTTTATTTGCTCAAAAATTGCGGGCAAATCTTTTGGAGATGGAAGTCAGGACATTTGTAAGGATAAAGAAAGTAATTTGGGACCAGTTGCTGGCTTGTCAGGCTGAAATTATCCAGAAGCTTTCTTTAACTTGAACGTGATGAAGGCCACCCGGTGAACAAATTGAATAAATTATCGGCTCTTCACACTGTCTCATTCTGTTTTTTGTTTTGTTCTCTTTTGGAGCCCGCCGAGGTCATTCTTTCATCTAAATAACCTAAGAAAAGTTCGAAAAAGATGTTCCTATTCAATTTTCAGCTCTCAGGCAATAATCCTGGATTTTTTTGACTGAAACGTCGGTTTGTGTTATGTTCGTGTGTTTCGGTTGCTATGGGCGACCGTTGCTTCCTTTGTTGACTCAAGCAATGAAGCGATTAATTATAAATATAATTGTAATTATATTTAGTTCTGGTTTTGTTTGATTTCGTTGAAATTTTAATATAATGAAGCTGGATTGTTAAGGAATAGATATTACTACTGCTGATGTGAGGTAGCTATTAATGCTAAAGTGATATATCGCTTCGAAGTCAGGGTTTTGAAGAGATTTTTTCGCAAAGCGTGGGTTTGGCGTGATTTTGTAATCTGAGATTTTTGTTGACCCTAAAGAAGAAAATATCCGGAAAAGGTCATTTCATCGACGATTCAAACAAATATAAATTTATGTATGTTCCAAGCTGAATTTCTAGTGAAAAAACATATTTTTGACGTGCGCTGGGTTTTTAATTCTTTTCCCGCAAAAGTTTTGGCCAGGAAAGAGGACGCAATGGTCTTTTAGAACTTTCTTTGGGATATGTATAGGCATGAACGACATGATAATAACACTATTAACAACAGCTTTCCTTCTTAAAATTCATGATAAATTTAATTGGTGTTTTCCACAAGTAAAGGGCTAGCAAAGAAGTCACACGAGTCACATAATTAAATTTTAAGACTTTGTTATCCATGGCTACCTTTAGTATGGTGCTTATTTCCCTACCAATGACTAATCCTTGCATGTTCTGACACGTTCTTTGCTTGGCTTGCAAATATTTAATTTTCTTTCTGATCACCGAACTTGCTGTGATGAAACAGCCAAAGAATTTACTTCATTTGCCTTAAACCACAAGAAATACTCGCAAAATTGCACATGAATTAATGACCGTCACTTCTGCCAAAATAAACTTGCAAAGTAAACACGATCTTATTCATCATGTAGCGAAAGTGAAAGCTGCAATGTCAGCGCATTCCACGGTTGACGTAATACCTTTTTTAGCCTACTTATTATTTCCCTTCGAATCCAATGCTTCAATAAAACCAAAAGAAAACATATTTCAGTACCCACAATAAAGAAAACGATATCCATAACATTGTCCATGTATAAATTTTGAACAGCTTTTGGTGAATAAACATCACATGTTGCGTGATTCAAAACTTGGCCGAGAGGGAGTTTGGGTCTGGTCACCGACAAAACTAAAACAAAAAAAAATAAAAAAATAAAAAAATAAACCACGGGTAGAACATGAACCGCGCTGTTAAAAGAAAAAAAAACACGGGTAGAACATGAACCGTGCTCCGCCCATGGCCGCATGGTTAATAACTCCAGAAATATTAAGGCAGTGTTCTTCCAACTTGGCACCAGCAATGTACATCACAAAAGAAACAGAATGACACACTGTGCTGTTGCCATAGCAACACTCTTGGCTCCAGTCTCTTTCTGTGAAAAACCAAATATCTCCATTTGCAACCTTTTAAAGTGGGACAGAGAGTCTTGCTCGGAACACACATGG